AAAATCTACCTAAAATTACAGTTGGAGACTTCACTATTCCTCTCTCAAAAATTGACAGAACTAGACAGAAAATTATCAAGACTATAAAAAGACTCAACAATATCAGCCAACAGAATCAAACTTACATTTACAGAGCACTGCACTCAACATAGCAGAATCACATTTTTTTTTTCCAACAGCCATAGAACATATACTGAGCTAGTATATGTCTCAGGCCAAAAGATAAACCTTAACAAATTTTTAAAATACTCTGAAATCTATATATTGTATTCTCTGAACACAAAGATATGAAATTAGAAATTAATAACAGACACGTTTTAAAATATCACTTATAACAAAATCAAAAATAAGAAATATGAAGGAATAATGCTAACAAAACATTTACAGAATCTATATTCTGAAAACTACTAAACATTGATAAAAGAATACCCCCCCAAATTAAAAACAAACTGTATTTATGGATTGGAATACTCAATATTGTCAATGTTCATTATCCCCCTGCCAATTGATCTATAGGTTTTATGTAACTTCTATGAAAATCCCAGGAAAGTGTTGCATAAAGACATAGATGTCCTTCTCTCTTCTCCTTGTCTTTCTCCCACTGTTTCTCTCCACTCTTTTGCAGTATTTCTCATTGTTTCCCTGCTCCAGGATTTCATCCTTAGATGAAGCACAACTCAGGTGAGTACTTCCTTTTTTAAGTTTTTAGCTTCATCTATATACTAACAATTCTCAATACACCCCTGATCTGTAGCTTAAGTTGAGTAGTGTTCTCTACTGAGATCTTAAATGGTTATCTAAAGCTAATAATGATCAAAACTGAACCCATCATCTATTTTCTGTAGCTTCTCCTCTTCGTATAACTCATATTTCGATTGTACCATTAGTCACCCAAATGGCAATTCTGGCATTTTCTTTCTTTCTTTCTTTCTTTCTTCTTTCTTTCCTTTCTTTCCTTTCTTTCCTTTCTTTCTTTCTTTTCTTTCTTTCTTTCTTTCTTTCTTTCTTTCTTTCTTTCTTTCTTTCTTTCTTTCTTTCTTTCTTTCTTCTTT